AATTAACCACCAAAAAAATTAAATGTTTTGAATATGCCACTTGAGAGTATTACTGCTGCCATCTGTATTAGAGAGGGGGAAAAAATTCTAGCGGTGGCCCCTTGCCCCCCATCTAGCTCCGCCCCATATGTTAGCTATAGATACTTGCCTTACAACTAGCCAGCAAAAAATATACTATATTCAGCTAAATATATTTTTCACAGATATATCACTGTATAATTCGTTTAAATGATTTCTATGCTTTATTTGAATTGCATAAATAAGGATACTGATAATATTCCTTCACCATAACAGCACACTATTAAGTACATAAAAAGGCAAGTATTTAACTATGAAGCTTTGGCGTCAACTAACCCATACATTTAATATCATGTTAAAATGGATAAATGCTTTTTTTTCTTCAAATATAGCATGTAGATAAGCGTGACTAGGTTCGTTTTTCCCTAATATTATCCTCAGCGTCTTACCCTTTTTGAATGATTGGCTTTTACAGACGGACCTCTCGGATGCGGTGCTTATGCTCATGCCCAGACACGTAGACGGTGACTTCATCCTCATCTTTCAGCGCACGTCCAGCGGCTTTAGTGGCTGTGCAAGAATGGATGGATGCATCTAACGCCGAGAAAACCAGCCTGTCTCTGTCCATTATCGCTTTTGACATTTGTGTTGAGATTTCTGCAGATGCTCCCGGAAACGTGTTTTTTTTTTTTTGCCAGCATGCTGCGGTGCTTGTGCAGGAGCTGCTGAGGACATTTTTCTTTATTATTTCTTCTTGGCAGCGGCGCCTTCACTCACTGCTACCTCAAAGGGAAGGAAGAGCAGAAAACAGATGATCATGACGGACCCGCGATCAATTTACAGGTAATTTGGCTTTGTTGTTATTTTGAGCGATTTGAACGGGTTGCATCCATTAGGAAAACGGTGATGTGCATTTTTCTTTTTAATTACAGCAGACAGTAGGGGATTTTATATGTTCTACATGGATAATTATCCAAAATCAGTCATGCATTCTAATCTGCAGAACATACAGACCTTTAAGCCCCAATAAGAGATATTAATGAATATTGAATAGTAAAGTACATATATATATATATATATATATATATATATAATCAGTTTAATCAGTACCATAACTGCTGTTATCTCTTCTAGGATTAACAAAGGACATAGATTCTGAGATGTTCTCCTTCCATGTAGAGGAATACTGCTGAACCTGATGACAGTGGAATCCATGTAAGCCTCCAACAATACAATGAACAACACTCTCTCACCATCAGACCTGGTGGATATGCCAAGACAGCAGAGCTTCAATAGCACCGGAGGTATACAGACGCCTTCAGGTTGGGCCGTGATTCACACTGCCACCTTGACCTTTTGCTCCCTGCTCCTCATCTTCATCTTCTTCCTGGGCTCCTACGGTAACCTCGTGGTGTTCTTGTCTTTTTTCGACCCGGCCTTTCGCAAGTTCCGCACCAATTTTGACTTCATGATCCTCAACCTGTCTTTCTGTGACCTGTTCATTTGCTGTGTGACAGCTCCCATGTTTGCGCTGGTGCTCTTTCTGGACGCAGGAGCAGACGACGGGGTGTCAAAAAGTTTCTGCTTTGCCTTCCACCTCACCAGCTCTGGCTTCATCATCATGTCTCTGGAGACAGTGGCAGTGATCGCCCTGCACAGGCTCCGCATGGTTTTGGGGCAGCAACCTAACCGGACAGCTTCGTTCCTTTGCACTCTGGCCCTTACTGCCCTTCTGTGGACGTCCAGCTTCACCATGGCGGCTCTCCTTACCATGCGAGCATACCCACGCAGGGATGGGCCCTGCCTGCCACACTTTGGACTTGGAAGTGGACAAGCTAGAGTTGTGCTATACGTTTATCTGGCAGACTTTGCGTTTTGCGTTTCTGTGGTGTCTGTATCCTATCTCATGATTGCAAGGACACTAAAGAAAAATGCACAGGTGAGAAAATGTCCCATTATCAGTGTCGATGCCACATGCCCACCACAGCCTGCACCTCTGATTGCAGCAGGCTTTGAGAGCATGCAGTGTGCTGTTCAAGGCCCTCCTTTGTACCGCAACCAGACGTACAACAAATTGCAGAATGTACAGACACATGCTTATGCAAACAGGATCAGTCAGCCTGTAGTTCCAGGAGCAGCCCAAGGAGCCACCTGCTGTCAGATGGTCTCTTCCGTCAACTTAGCCACAGCCAAAGACTCAAAGGCAGTTGTCACTTGTGTGGTTATTGTGTTCTCTGTTCTGCTTTGCTGCTTGCCAATGGGAGTTTCACTGGCGCAGGACGTTTTGTCACCAAAAAGCAACTTTACACATTACCAGTTTGAACTCTGCGGCTTTGTGCTCATTTTTCTCAAATCGGGCATCAACCCCTTCGTATACTCACGCAACAGTGCAGGTCTTCGTCGCCGGGTGCTCTGCTGTGTTCAGTGGGCTGCACTGGGCCTTCTCTGTTGCAAGCAAAAGACTCGGCTTCACGCGATGGGGAAGGGCAGCTTGGAAGTCAATCGCAATAAATCTTCCCATCATGAAACAAACTCAGCGTATGTACTTTCCCCGAAGCCACCCAGGAGGCTGGTGGACCAGGCCTGTGGGCCCAGTCGCTCTAGGGAGTGTGACAGTAGCCCGAGGGCCACAGTGGTGCGGAAACCTCGCTTACCAAGCACTTCTACGCCGATGAACACCCGCATTGAGCCGTACTACAGTATTTACAACAGCAGTCCCTCAGCAGGACCTAGTTCCCCCACCAGCCTGCAGCCTGTCGGCTCTCAGACGTTTGCTTTTGTCAAATCTTATGTAGCCATGCACTACCACACTCACCAAGATGCATTGCAAGACTTTGACAGCACCTCAGCACAACAGATTCCCATTCCTTCTGTTTGAAATGTTTGGTCAGTTTTACCATGGCTTTAAATTCATTGCCAACAGGTTAATTTAATGCATTAGAATCAGCCATTTCATTCTCTTTGGCAGTTTGTCAGGATTATAAGCTTTGCCACTGATGCTATAATGAAATAAACCTTATTAGAAAGTGTATGAGTTTTGCACTCAAGGATGCAGTTTCACAGACACCTTGTGCATGCAAGTGCCACTATCTCACACAAGTCTAAAGGTTTCATTTTTACTTCTAGTCTAAGACAACAGCTAGTTGAACTGTTGCAACTTCAGGCTACCAACATACCCTGCATAAGTCCACACAGCTGTCAGTGGAATGTTTTTGCACCTTGATGAACTTTTTGCTTAAGAAAATGTATTCGTGAACCTCATAGTTTTTAACTTAATAAATGGTTAGCAATCGCTTTGGATGAGTGGTTTGGCTTATTTTTTCAAAAATAAAGTTTTGATTAGTCATATATCTAGAATCTTCACCAACATCTAGAAAAAATATGGAACCCTACTCAACTCAACTGGATTTCTGTATTTTTTGATTAACTGATAAACTAATGATGGAGTAGATTTTTCAATTACTGGACAGTGGTGATAAGAACTGAAAGAACATTAGCACCACCTAGTGGTTGTAACCTTCCATAAGATCTACATATTTTAATAAATAAACCAGATTTTTAAACTTTTACGGAAATAATCCTGACACGTTTTCCTTGATTTGGTATACAAAGAAATCTGTTATCAGCTTGTGTAGTAACACAACAAATAAAATCCCATGTCATTTTATTTTTTGCGACATTCCATTGGTTTTTACACAGTCATACAGCAGCGATAGGATTCTCCAGTGTGCGTTTTCACGTTTTCATAAAAACCACAGAAAACCTTTAAACCGACTTACATTCTCTAAATTGTTTTTTTTTTTTTTTTTTTTATGAAACACCAACCTTTCCTGTTTGTTCACATCATGCTCTCATGCATAACTTACACTCACTCTGTAAATTGGCACCACACTCGCTCTTCCTGTTGCAAAGAGTTTATAAGCTTTTTTTCAATCATGAACACAAATATCCTGTCTATGGAGGACCAACTCTGCCATATCTAAAAATAAATAAATGCTCAATAAATAAATAAGCATACAATTAATTGCCCCTCAAAAATACAATAAACAAATAAATGTGGGTAGAAATTAAATTATAGAGTGAGACATAAATGTATACATCTCTTTAATTAGCTTCTTTATTTATTCGCCTTTGTAATAATTACCTTATTTATTTATTGTCCGTTATAACCTTCAACTTTATTTATTGCTTATTTTTTAAGTATTTATTATTGTGCATGATATATTTTTGTCTGTTTTATTCTGCGTTTGTATTTTTTTACCCCCTTTATTTCTTCAATAGTATTTCTTTCTGCCTGTCGTTTTTACATTTCTGTATGCATTTCTGCATCATTATGCAAATGAGGAACGGTGTGTCTTAGAAAGTCAACTTCTGCTTATTATGACAGACAATAAATTACGTAATTATTACAAAGGCGAATTAATAAAGAAGCTAATTAAAAGAGATATATACATTTATGTCTCCTGTATAGGAATTTTTTTACCTACATTTATTTATTTATAAAGAAATGGTAGCATGGTAGCAATTAATTGTATGCTCATTTATTTATTGAGCATTTATTTATTTTTCTATTCATTTTTAAATACGGCAGTTGGTCCTACATATCGGTCAAGGAGCAAATGACTTTAAAATCTCTCTCAAACACACGCAGAAATGTACTTCAGAAAAAATAAAACCATTGTGAGTCAGTTCCACTAATTGATTTAAAAAAAAATATATAAAAAATTTTGTCTTGTTTGCAATTGATCAACTCAAAGAGAAGCATAGATATGAGATATGGGAATTATATCCACTGCCTTTTAAGGCATTAGTCCCTTTTCAATCATCAACAGCTTAGGTTGTATCATATGCTGCTTGCAATGCCTGGCATGGACCGGCGCTCCTGGGCAATATGGTGTCCAGCTTTACAATCGGGTTCAACCACAGTTTTGGCTTTCATCACATTGAAAGTCTTTTCTTTCACCAGAGGGTCCTCTGTTTTACAAGTGTCCTCTCATCCTTCATGCATCACTGCTGGATCATCACAGGATCTTTTCATCTTAACTAGGGATTGACAGAAGCCCCTGTTCATCAGCGGTGTCAAGAATTCTGCAAATGACCGGCGACTCGACCTAAGCAGAAGATCAATAAAACAAGCAGATGTCAGTAAGATGACAATTTAACTTATCTTCAATAAAACTTTTAATTTTATATCATATACTTTCAAAAAATAAATAAAAATCAAAATAACTTTAGGATTCCGAACAAGTCATTTACTGAAATTCTCCAATTAATGGTCATAGATATGATTTTATATAAAATATAGAAGTGTTTGCTATTAGTTTTCCATAATATATCAAATATTTCTTGTTGTGTATGGTGTAAACATAGCAATAAAATACAAATTTTAGAACTATGCAATGTAATAAAGTGTAAATGTATGGGACACTGTGTCCTGTATAACTAGGATACATATACACATATATATCAGATATTTACATGTACTTTAAAACAATTCCCTATTTCCTGCTCAGTGGCTGACCTCCTGCAGGCCAGTCTTTTATTTTTCTAAAGGTACATACAGTGCCCTCCATAATTATTGGCACCCCTGTTTAAGATACTGTCGAGGACTTATAAAACAACATAGAACCCAGATGAAAATAAAAATCACGTATTTAAAAAAAAAAAAATTGAAATCTTGTGTCCCACAATTATTGGCATCCCTAACATTTCAGCTAAAACATTTAATTGATTTCCTCTTAACTATATTATTCTGTATTTGTTAAAGTTAGTCAGGGTATTTAGAAACTTTTTATTAATAATTCATGACCTTCTGTTTCCCTGGGGTATAAATATGACGTGACACAGAGGCATAATTCTCTTACATGGCAAACACAAGAGAACACACCATTCAAGTAAGGCAGATGTTTTTCAACCTTCATAAATCAGGCAATGACTACAAGAAAATAGCCACTTGCCTTAACTTACCTGTATCTACAGTCAGGGGAATCATTAAGAAGTTTAAAACAACTAGAACAGTGACAGGCTGGAAGAAGTCCCAAGTATATCTTGCCACAGGGCACAGTGAGGAGGATGGTAAGAGAAGTAAAAACAAGTCCGAAGCTCACCGTCTCTGTATTGCATCAAAGAGTGGAATATTTGAGTCACAAAGTCTCCAAATCAACTATCAGAAGCTCTCTACATGCTAACAAGCTGTTTTGGGAAGCATGTAAGGAAAAGCTAAGCAGCACTGGGACTTTAACTGGGATTGTGTGCTTTGGTCAGACGAGACTAAGATTGAGCTTTTTGGCAAAGAAACTCTAAGTGGGTCTGGCGTTAAAAAAAAAAAGATGAGTATGCCAAAAAGCACCTCATGCCCACTGTGAAGTATGGTGGAGGATGTGTGATGCTGTGGGCCTGTTTCTCTTCCAAAGGCCCTGGGAACCTTGTTAGGGTACATATCACTATGAACGCTTTCAAATACCAGGACATTTAAATAAAAACTTGATGGCCTCTGCCATAAAGCTGAAGATGGGTCTTCATTGGGTCCTTCAGCAGGATAATGATCCAAAACATGTGGCAAAATCTACACAAAAAAGGTTCAGTAGTCACAAAATCAAGGTTCTCCCATGGCCATCTGAGTCAACAGACATCAACCCAATCGAAAGCCTGTGAGTTTAGCTAAAGAGGAGAGTGCATAATAGAGGACCCAGGACACTGGATGATCTAGAAATATTAGGCAAAGAAGAATGGTCAAAGACTGCTCTCTCTGTGTTCCCCAATCTTGTGAAATGTTATAGGAGAATAAGTGCTGTCTTCTGCAAACGGGGGTTGTACAAAGTATTAACATCAGGGGTGCCAATAGTTGTGGGACACATGATTTCATTCTTTTTTTCCCCCCTAAATGTGGGATTGTATTTTAACCACCAAGTAATCTACTTAAATAAAAGGTAGAATTTTTCTATTTTCCATTTCAGTTCTATGTTGTTTAACTCTAAACAACCAACAGAATTTGAAGCAATCCTCAACCATTTTGCATACCCAAATGGAAAAGCAAATAACTGAAGAACTGTAAGTCCACATTACATGTGTGATACATCATTTGAAAGCTATCACCTTCTAGTTTCTGGAAATATAAATGAAAATAGTTTGAGTGAAACACAACCCAAGCTGCATCAGTTCAAACATGACTCAAAGTTGTTTTTATATTCTCGAAAATAATTGGTATTTTCTGAACAGTATTAATAAAGACATGCTTGGGAATAGGCATGTCTCATTTGCATTTATTTTCTTTACATTTGTTTTACATTATTTCAACCACAAATGCAGAAAATTTCAGAGCTCTAGCTACAACAGTTCCAGAGCTGTGGGGCTTTGAACTTTTGGTCACCAGCGTCTCCAAATCTCTCCAGATTGTGCCAAATGCTTTTACTTAACTATTTGACCCATAAAATAACACTGAAGCATTTTGGTGGCCACAAAACATTTATGAAGTAAGTATTTTTTTTCACTTTTTTTCAGAGTCAGTGTATATAACAAAATGTGACATTTATAAACCAAAAATATCTTAAAAGTCTATAGAAAAAAGTAAAACTGCTGCTTTTTAGGCAAAAAAAAAAGCCCCAGTGACTTTTCTGAGCTGTATTTTGCTTTGTTTTTTTCAGCCTTAGGCATTGTAATAAAAAAAATCAGCATCGAAACTTCAAAAATATCGGAGCGTTGTTAGCATTCAGCTTCAAACTGTGCTCATTGATCCAGTCTCAGCAATGTATTTCACTCTTACGCAAGCCACTAACAGCTCTGCTTTATGCAACCCAGCCATGTCTAGGCTTGTTTAAAACCTTATTTCATCGTCTACAAAGCCAAACAGCCCACATGGTCTTAACCAATAACAGCAGGACTCTATGAGGCGTAATATCGCTCTTTAAATGAGACATGTTATGTCTAATTGTTATGTCTAATTTAAAAATCAAGTTAAAATGAAGCAACATACATATATGGGTCAAGTTAGTTATATACATAAATGTAAATATCAGTTTAAGCAAATAAATAAATAGGATTTTGAAAAATGATCAACATAGGATTGTTTTTAGGCTAATCAGCCTGTCATTTTTGAAAATGAAGTCAATCAAAAGCTTCTTTTAATAGTATGTCAGTGGATCATTCAGGCTGTGAGGGAGTTGAAGAGAGAGACATTAAACAGGTTAGAAGTTTAATTTTTCAAGCTGTTAACTTCAGTCAGTCATAAAATAAATTGGATTTGGAAAAATTTGCAGGTTCTTTTGAAATCTTAGAGTTAGAATAAATTAAGTTATACATGTTCTCTATGTCAATACACCAACACTACTGTTTTATTTATCCTAGCCAAATGAAATGTGCTGAACATGAACTGCCACAGACAGATTCACACATTAAAGTCATTTAGTTTTGTGTTATTTGGTAAAACCCTTGCTTTACAGCAGATTTTCTCTCACTCAGGGCCCGGTATCCATCGTACAGGCCTGTTTAGACCGATCAGCTGTAGGAGAGTTCTGGTGGTTCCAAACTTGTCCCATTTCCTAATGATGGACGCCACTGTTCTCGCTGCGGCTTTCAGAGCAGCAGAAATGTTTTTGTATCGACATGACATTGTGCTTTGTGTGTGTGCTCTGACATGCAAGGTCAACTGTGGGATCTTATATAGACACTGTCATAATCGGGCATTGTGGGTAAAATTTTGAAGAAAGATTAATTTAATACCATTAGGAATAAGTCTGAAACCTAAGTGTTTAAAAAGTGCAGCACTCCCAATATCTTCTGGATGCGCTGTTTAATTATTAGCATATCAGTGCAACAAGCGACCTTACCCCAAGTATATATTGGCAGGTCTGAGGTTCCATCATGTAGACGGTGACAGCATGGGGAGACTCCGATTCCTTACATCTGCCAAAGAGAAATCCTGATTTAATCTAAATATTAACATATTATGATTGGGAGACTTGTGTTGTTTTGTTTGGTTATTTATTCCTCCAGTAGACCCTTGACTTACTTGAGCTTTACAATGACCTGTCTGGGTTTTCCTGTCAAATCGCATAAATCCCCATGTCCATAAAAGTGGGATACGACCCTATGATGATGCAAAAAAGAAAAAGGAAAATAAAGGATAAAAGCTAACAGTAGTAATTTGGATTTCTAGTTATTTAGAGCAACACTAAATGGCTTACTTTACTTTCTGTGCTCCGTCTTCTTTAAGCTGATAGGATCTGGCTACGTTCTTCTTCGCCCACTCAATGTGCTCCTCTGCATTCCAGTTCCCCACCACTACAATGTTCTTCCCTTGCTCTTTGTCCTGCGACACAAGGAAGCATTTGAAAAAACTGGAAAAAATGCAACCAAATTCCTACAGAATTACCTCTATTGGAGAAAATACTGTTGAAGCCTTTTAACCACAGAGGCACTGATCAAGTGTTTACTGTTGTCTTAAGAGGTTTGACTTATTGATATAAAAATCTATTTCTTTAGAAATATTTTATACAAGAAAACACCTTAAAGACAAAGTCATTTAGAGTTAAACTTCCAAACAAAAAGTGCTTCACAAAATGTGCTGTTTGAACTGTTAAGGAAACCATTGTCATCTTAGTATCTCACCTGCTGACTACTAATCAGCAGGTCAAAAGCTATTTAAATGTCTGGCTGATTGATTTCTGCCTTTTATGACAAAAAAAAAAAAAAACTTGATTATTAAAGATGGATGCATCAGAACCTTAAAGTTCATTAAAAACCCCTTTATAAAGCTTTGACCAGCCCATACAGATGTTATATCGATTCTGATTTCTGGGAACCATATAAGATCCAAAAAGATGATTTGAGTGTCCAGATATCATAATAAAGATCAGACTAGACTCACCAATATCCATTAACACAAATCATTTTAAAGGGTTATTTCATTCAGCCTCTTATTCTTTCCGGGCTTGATGATCAACAAACATGTCTCCAATGTTGAATAAAACAATTCAGCTTTTAAAAGTATCCCTTTGCTTCCTCTGACTTTATTTTTCTTAACATTACTGATGAACAGTTGACTCTAAGCCTTTTTTCTCTCACTTTTACTCAAATGATCTTACCTCATGGTACTGGTGGACATGTTTTCCATAACAGAACTCATATTTCCACCAGCCTACACCCTGAAACACACATGAAGATGATTACAGATTCCAGAGGAGTTCCAGAAATGATCTTTATGTGATAAAAGAAAACAGGTCTCACCCCTTGCAGACAATACGAGCCGCTGAGGAACTCCTTGATCAGCTGCTCGTCTGTCAAACGCGAGATATGAGTGGTGCCAACCGTGACCTGTACCTGCCCTCCCACATTCATGGGTTTGTGAGTGGAGGTGAAAGCTTCCTCTCTGACTGGTGATACGTCCTCCTGTGACAGAAATAAAAAAAAAAAACATTATCAAACTCAAAATATGATTGTTTTTTTTGTTTTTCATTTTCTTCGATTCTCTCACTTCTCTGGTGTCGGCATTAGTGCTGAATGGTGGTCTAAGTAGCTCCTCCTGCTCTTTGTCTAACTGAATAAGCCGCTGAGGCCGCAGGGGGGAGCCCTCCAGAGCCTGGCAGAAGATGGCATTCACCGGGGAGGATTTGAACCTAACAAAACAATGTTAGATCAAGTTAGGAAAAAGGCCTCCCGTTTCCAGGCAACACTCCAGCTTTCTCCTACTGAGAGCATTCTTTACATCCTACCTGTACTTTGGGTGAGCACACAGCAGAGGCGTCAACACCACAACCTCATATTCACAGGTGGTGACCTCGGCGATGGAAAGGATCTCATGCTTGGCTTCGGGATGACAGACATACAACACGGCAGTGGAGCGTGGCTGGTTCCGCTTCAGCGTACAAGGAGTCCCGTTTCCCATTTCCACAGCATAGTATGGAGTCAGCTGACCTTCAATGTTTTTGGTGGGAACCTACAAACAATACATAAATCAGGAAACAAGTGTGAGCAAAAATGTCTCTTGTTAATTCATTTGCTTAAGCTTTAGTACTGTTTTTACTTCTCTTTGTTGAGTTGTTTTGGCGTTTTCTTTCTCCTCAACTTGATCTAAAAAATTTCAACCAACTCAAATGAGTTTTAACTTGTTTTTTTTTTTAAGACCAAAAAACATACAAATATGGAGGCATACCTGTATCAGAAGACTGACTCCTCTGTGCCATATTCCCCAGGTAATACTCTTGAACATTGATCTTCTGTAAAAGCACAGATGATCACCTTCAGGATACATTCTCATTTATTTTACCTGATAGCTAATAATGACCCACTAACCTGCCCAGTCTCCTTCTCTTCATGATATTGCCTGACATGCTTCCCATGGCACACTTCATATGTCCAGTAAGACTCAATCTGCAGGGTTTCATTCAAAATAAAGCCTTTTACACACTTTTAAAACGGAGGTATTTTTGTTTTGTCATGGTCTGCTAACGTTGCATGAAAGTCTAACTGAACACAGTTTCAGTTTTATGTCTCACCCTGTAGGAGCAGCTGCTTCGTTTGAACAGCGGCTCAAGAAGGTCACCCGGACTGGGACCGCCGTACCCCTTATCATCATCCTGAGACCCAAAGGGTGAAATTATTTATGCAACACTTCCATGAATAAAACATCAGTTCATTTAAAGGTTTCCATGCAACAAAACGAATGCTCCCATATAGATCTTCTGTGCTTCAGTTTGATGCAACTTTAGCTGTAGATCAACTTTCAGTTTTCCTGTTTCATTTAAACAAGACCAAATGAATGTCACGTATAAGTGTTTAAAATGAAATTGGGATCTTAGCTATAATAAAGACAATTAACAGAAAGTTCTAAACAAACAACTAGATACACCAGAAGCCTTTAGGGGAGAGCAAAACAAAACTAAAGAGTCAAAGATGTAAAAAGGCTGAGGAATCATCATTTTTTTGAAAAATGAAATAAAATTCATTGAATGCATCCGAGTATGAATCAGGAAAATACCTAACATTCACTCTCTTTGTAAAACTTTAAAGACTCTGGAAATCCATCCAGAAAATTCTTCACAGAAACAAAAAAATGCTAATTAACAGTTTCAACAACAGTTTTAAAGAGATTATATACATAAGACCTTTTTAAAAGTTTATTCTGCTAATGTTATCAGTTTTAATGTTGAATTAAATCAAGTGACTTACAAAAATATTGGTTTCATTCAGCTCAGATATTTTGCTAGACACATTTATTTTTCCATTTATTAGTATGAAACTAAAAAAGCTGTCCAAAGGAATTCTATACTTTTTCAAATTATATAACTAAATTATTTGCATCACAGAAATGCATCGTCACACTTCTGTTCTCTACATATTTATATTTCTCTCTCTTACTTTTAAACTTTTTTTTGTAATCAATTGTTTTTTATGTCTAACTTGATAAAAACTCCAAGTTACATCTTGTTTTTAAACAAAGTGACAGTTTACTAATTGATCAGTTGCTTTAGATCAAATCACACACCCTTAAACAACTTAAAGGGTGTTTAATAGTGTTTTTTTCTTTTAGGTTTGATTTAAAAACTAAATGCTACTGAGTATTTCTAGCATCTGCACAACCATAAGACGTCCTTAAAAACTAATTAAATAATCATATAAACAGGGGCAGAGCTAGATGAGGGACCAGGGGTGCCCATGGCCACCCCTACCATTTATTTCCCTCTAATAGAGATGATGGCAGCAGTAATACTCTCAAAGGGAATATTCAAAACATTTTTCATATATTAATAATTACTTTAAAATAATATAAATAAATAAAATAAATAAATGGTTATTTATGCACATCAATATACTAACATTAAAGATGATAAGCACAGAATGCACACTCTTCAGAAATAGATTTTGTTTTATGGGATAAAGAGAAAATTTCTCTGCAAGTCACTTAGGAGTCTTCAGTGAAATCATAGATAAATAACTGTTTTAATAAAAATCTATTAAATAATCAATTTGTGTAGATATTAGTGCTTGTAAAAATAAATTTTATGCAGAATGATTATTGATAAAAGTAGGTAAGTAATGACAATGGAAATGATGCTTGCCCAAAACTCAAACCTGAAAGAATTTTATCCACTATACCTTTTATCTAGAAAGCACGGATGTTTGAATATATGCAACTATTTGTTAGAAAAGGCTGTGGAAACGTAAAGTTTTTCTTTATTTAGAAAATATGGATGTTTTGCTTGTTAATTTTCCTGTTGGAACAGTGGAGATTGAGGTTTTGGTGCCCCCCTCAGTCTACATTGTTTATTGCCTGGGCACCCTTATAAAAATTTTATAGCTACGCCTCTGCATA